GTAATGACATGGAGACAGCGTTCAGTTGATCAGCAGCCTAGCCAGGATCTCCAGCAGGTTCTGTGTTTTAGTGTCTTGTTACATCCGTATTTATACCAGGTGATTTTAATCCTATCAATTTCTATTCCAAGGGTTAGGGCGTTTCTTATCTCCATTCCAGGGAGTAAAGATTAAGTAGTTTAAGCGTGACTATTTGTAGTTAAAGTGATTAGCTACCTCCTGGCACTTAGTTAAGGAGTTTTATTCCCTCCCTAACTTCAGGGAAAAATCCCCACCTGGGGAAACAACCTTTCTCGGAGAGGTGACCTTGGTTAAAACACATAGTGCCAAGAAGGTGAGCAAGTATATTAGGAACAGTATGCCATATATGCCAGGTCCCTTGAAACAGCAAGGATGGACCGGCTCCCGGCAGATATTTATAACATCATTCACAGACCATACAAAATTATCAACTTAAAAATTACCCTGCTATATTTATCCAAACTTTTAATTAACTCACCCATAATGCCTTAGTAGGGCCAGACCAAATGACTTTGTGGGCCTTGTGTGGCCCATGGGCCAGATGTTCCCCACCCCTGCATTACATGCTAGGATGCTCCTTCACATTCGGTGGCTGTGACACCTTACTTGAAATGGTGCTTCATCATGTTCTTACACATTTTCTTGGTCTGACATGACACTCCTATTTCTGGTCTCAGTTCAGTCAGCCACTGTCATCACCTGCTGCCTCACAGCCAATTCCAATGAGCACAACCCCAGGGAACATTACTTCAATGGCAGCAGAAGGCTCTGCTACAGGATGGGGCTGCTGCTGATGCTATCTCGCTGTCTGTTCCAAGGGTGGCTTAGATGGTAATACAGTGCCACCTAGGACACTTGGAACCAAATAGCAAATGGGGCTATGGGTTTCCCCAAATCCCTTCAGGGTCTGGGAGGCAGGGGGAAAGGGTCACAGTGGGGGTCCTTGGTGGTTTATTGTTACCACAGTGACTTCTGAACCACAAGAAAACACAGCAAAACTCTGTAAATCTTATGACAGACACAAACTTACGAGTGGCCTGCAACATTATCGAGTGAAGAACATGAAACCTAATGAGTATGCTTAGAACTAGTTATTACCAACTGCTAATGGGGTGGGTGCCTAGAGTTCCTTCCTTAATATCAAGTAATTAAAGAAATACAGTACCATTTGAGGAAAGGAAAATAGAACACCAGAGAATGAGAAGGACGGTGGGTCTGAGTGGGGAAAAGAGGAAGCCTTTAATATAATAACAATAATAATAATGATGTAGGAATTATTTCAGTGTTGCTGGAGATCAATGTCATTATTTGCATGATACAGGTTGTCAGCATTGATCTCACTTAGCCTTACATTTGGAAAATTTTCAAATTCACGTAAGTGAAAAGGTGAGCAATGCAGGCAGCCAGGTGTTGATTTTCCCTTAGTAAATTAAGCTAGGCTACATCAACAACACAGGACTTCTCCAGGGATAAAGCTGTTCCCTTGAGAATTAATTTATGCCCTTTCGAAGAATTTCCTTTCTCCAGAATTCACCATCCTAACAGTGATAAACACATAAAAACAGTGACAGTGTCTCTCTGGAGACAAAGGTACACTGTGTCAATTTATGCCAAACTATATACCTAATTAAAAAAAAAATTATTGAATTTTATAGAGAGAAAGGAAGGGAGAGGGAGAGAGAGAGAGAGAAACATTAATGTGAGCGGAACATTGATCAGCTGTCCCCGTTGAATGCCCCTTTCCGGGAATTGAGCATGCAACTCGGGCATGTGCCCTGACTGGGAATCAAACCAGGGACCCCTCAACGTGCACTGGATAACGCCCAATTAATCAAACCACACCAACCAGGGCTATATGCCTAATTTTTAATACTAGTAAGTAATTAATTCAATTTTCAGAAAACAAACAACTAATCAAAACACGTATTTCTATACCATCATCTATATATATAAAAGCCAAGCGCCCAGAATGACCAGGAGGCTGGCCAAACTCCTGCGGCCCCTCCCCCCTGCCAGCCCAGCTCCCTGATCCTCCCCTACCCCGATCAGGGGTGGGGACGGCCAACCTCCCATGGTCCCCTCCGGCACCCGCAGGTGGACTGGTCGCCCCCCATGCACAAATTCGTGTACCAGGACTCTAGTAGAAACATAACATAAGAAGTTGAAAAAGAAGATCTACGAACCTCAGATGTTGCTATTTCGGTGAAGGTATTCAATGCTTGCTCAACATTAGATTTCTGCTTGGTAGCCATCAGGCAATAGTTCTCCAGTACTCGAAGCTGTATGTGACCCTCAGCAGTCTGAGGTTTTAGTTCTTTAAGGAGTTTTTCTGCCGTTCTTACTGCTAATTGCATAGACTCTTGCTTCTCAGTTGAATTACTGTATTCAATGAAAAATAAATCTCTTATATCTGCTACTCACAAAGTCAAATTCATTGAGAATGAAATGAGATCTATGGTACATATGGTTTCTTCTTTTGTCATCAATTTATAAGTAATCCTTTTGAAGAATGTCACTCATTTTCTTCTAGTACAAAGCACAGTTATAAAGTGTTTTTTAAACAAAATTAATATAGATTCAATAAAATACCATTAAACATTTATTCACTCTAATGTGAACATAAAATTTGGACAATATCTACATGTGGTATTATCATTCCAGCTAATATAAAACTAGAATTAAGAATAAGTAGAATTATCCAATTATCAGTGGTGTACCTATTCAGAAAAAGAGGCAGCAAAAAGTCACTAACATCACTGAAGCACCTACTATGTGTTAAGCACTGGATTATGTCATTCAATCTAAGTTGAATCCATTTTATATGTGAGAAAACTAAGGCCTAAACAGGTGAAATAATTTGTCAAAGGTCACACAGCTAATAAATGGTAAACCTGGGATTTGAATCTAAGTTTGTCAGACATATAAAAAGCCTATTTTATTTTCCTCACTTAGTTCCTTATCAGATGCTTAGAAACTATGTATCTGTCAAAGGATTGTAAATTGTAAGTGCAATGACAGTTTAAATATGTACTAGCATTTTTCTTATTTTTTAAACACATATCCACACCCAGCTTTCTCTCTCTCTCTCTCTCTCTCTCTCTCTCATCTCTCTATTTTTTATCTCCTTCATTTTCTTTCTTCCAGAAAGTTTTCTGTTAAGCTATAGAACTCTCTGGAATGTGTATTCGCTAGCTCTCCTGAATAAACTGTGAAACCTGTTCTTTTCATTAGGCTGTTTAGAATGATCAAGACAAACCTGGCTGTACTCCATCGTTAACATTACTTCTTTCCTTGGACCAGACAAATTATTTCTAAATCTCAATTTCCAAATAAACATAAAATCAATATTTTGATTTAAATTATCTATCAAGAGATAGTATATCTTAATGAATAATAAACAACGTATTAAACAGTTCAGCTTCATTTTATAAAATTAAAAACAA